AAAAAAAAAAAAAAAAAAGGTAAAAAAGAAAAAGAAGAGAGAGAAAAAAGTAATATAATAAAAAAAAAAAAAGAAAAGAAAAAAAAATAATCGAATATATTCTTGATCGCGATTTGAATATATAATCTACACACATATACACACACACACATATATTTTTTTTTTTCGAACAGAATATCCATATATATAGATGTAATTGTTGGCGAATATTCGAGGATCGTTAAGATGAATAAAAAACGCGTTAGTCGTAAGTTTAAGGGATAGAGATTTTCATGCGAGATTTCACGCGATACGTTATTCGTTCCATCGCGTATCACGAAGAAATTCGTCGCGTTTCAATCCGTTCGACAATCGATAATGGCATCGATAATCAATCGATAACCGTCGGCTCTGAATACGGTGAAAGAGGAAATCACGATCGATGATCGTATTATAATCGAGAAGAATGATGAAATGTACAGAGAGGAAAGTTTGCGCGGGTAAAGTATTGGGCAAGTGAGTTCGCGTCGTTGGACGAGAGAAAAAAGAAAAAAAAAGAAAAAAAAAAAAAAACGAAGAAAAGTGTGTTTTACTTTGCAAGGTAACAGCGAGAATGGGAAAAGTGTGAAAGGTCGTACGAGAGGACATGTCTTTCTAGAAACACCACTAGCACATCACATATCATGTACGGCATATCAGATGAGCCACTAGTCTGTAGACTAGATGTAGAGATAGCAGCCATGTTCCTGGAGCGCCAGATAGTTTTAGGTACGCACCTAAAAGATCAACGCATCGTTCCTAAATAATTTGAATTGATTTGAAAGCGATCTCGCGCGGATACTTGGACAATATTACTCTTCCGTGTTAATCTCTCGTGTGTTTATTCGATTGTTGTAAAGGGTTGAAGTTTGAATCATAATCAAATATTTTCAAAAGTATCCACGTGAAATCTATCTGCTGTTAAAAGTACCCCTTGTCTTCCGTTTTATGATGAATTATTATGAATTATATCTTGTCGCTTTTTAAATTTCTTTCTTGTATTGGTGGCCAATCGTATATTTTTCAGCTTCCATTCTTTTCTTCCTACTATGAATTTTTCTTTTCTTACTATGAATATCTCTGTATTTGTTTTCTCTCCACAATCTGTATTCACAATCTCGAAATCTGATTGTCTTTTTTTCCTCTTTCTACTTTTCTTTTCTTTTTTCTTTCTTTTTCTTTGACTGTTCGTTACTCGCAGCTACGAGTAATCGTAGAGAACCCCCCGACATTGCTTGATTACTTGTGTTACTTTGTTGATCTACAATTCTGCACAACATTGCACCCTATCGCAAATACCTTTTTTTCAACGATTTCAGTCCAATGTGCGAAACCTGTTCGATTTAATAGAGTAAAATTTAAAAAAAAAAAAAAATAAAAGAAAACAAAGATAAAAGGTAAGTCTGCCGTATTCGGAGTCCTTTGTCCAAGTTTTCTTCAATGTCTCTTATACAAATAATAACACTGGGAGAACGACCAAAAATTTATCCCCGAGTAATGCTCCACCAAAGATGCAACACCCTTTCCTGATCTGAATCTCTTATTTTTAATTGTGTAAATACGTCCGTAGCTACTTCCACATTTATCTACTTCTTATTGTTCCTCTTATATATACGATGTTTCTATGGATTATATACATATATTATCGCGCCAAAAGCCGAGCAACCGACTGATCTGTACGTTTTCGTTTCCTTTACAGTGAAAGCAACCCAGAGATACTCGATACGAGATCGATACGAATTTCAACGCGGTGTGCTGTGAGAAAGGAGTGGCGAACGGTGGTGATTCGATGTTCGATGTTCAAGTGATACGGGGAACGAGAAACTTGTGAAGTGGTGAAATTGTTCGTATCTAAACCCGTTACGAACCCGTGATGTGAACGCGAATATTGTGAAACATCCTCACGAACCATTTAACGAAATTTTAAGTAATAATAATATTAATAATATTAATATATTATTCGCGTATTCGCGAAGAGACATTATATTTGTACATAATTTAGAACGCTCCGTGTGTTGAACGCCAATGTGACGATTTTCAGAACACAATATATATATATATATTTACATATATATGTATATAAAAAGAAAAAAGACAGTCGTAGTATCAAATGAACAATCAAATGAACAAATTAGAAAGAAAAGGAAAAGAGAGAAAGAAAGAAAGAAAAAAAGAAGGAAGGAGAAATTAACTTGGAACTCGTTGTCAAAGTTTTTAGCCAAGAGATATCATCGTCAGAGCGTATATTATTTATTGTAAATATTATAACAATGATATATATATATATATAGGCATATATATGTATATACATATATATATATATGTACATATATATATATATATATATATATATATATAAAGTTTTTAGCCAAGAGATATCATCGTCAGAGCGTATATTATTTATTGTAAATATTATAACAATGATATATATATATATATAGGCATATATATGTATATACATATATATATATATGTACATATATATATATATATATATATATATATATATGAATTCGCGATACGTATGCACGAAACTGTTTATTAAGAAAAAAAAGATGAACAATTTGCCTTGACCGTCGCGTTTTCGTCATCCCGTTCCCCTCGCGATTTCAAGGATCGCGGCGTAACCGCAACGCGACATCGATTTTTACTATCGTCGATCGAGAAAAAAAAAGAGAAAATAATAATAATAATAATAATAATAATTAAGCTCGAGACGAGACCGGGACTTTGACTCGAGCTTTGCATCGCGTTTGTATCCGTCGAAAATCGTCCGTGGATTCGAACGTATCGCGAGAGCGAACGGGAACGAGGCCGAGAAATATCGTGAATTAGCGAATTGTTGTTGAACGTTAAAGTAGCCCATCTTCAACTATTTTGCGAGTGAGTGAGCGACTGAGAGTGAGTGAGTGAGCGAGCGAGCGAGTGAGTGAGTGAATGAATGAGTGAGTGAGAGAGAGAGAAAGATTGAGAGTACGAGGCGTACGAAAAAAGTAAAATGCTAACTATATCGACTGTCATATATTGTGATTATGTTAGTTTTTATTTAATTGTCGAATAACCTCACGAATCGGATGTTACGCGTAAGGGGACAACCGTATGTACCTTTTAGAATATTTTATTCTCTTTATCGACTTGCACTCGACTTTCAAAGGAACGCTCGTTTTTTAACGTGAATATTTACTGAACGAACCGCCCACGTAATTCTTGCATATAAAACGGACCCTCCGTGGAATCGCGCCTCGTCCCCTGAAAAACGAGACACGGCACGGACACCGTCGATCCATGAATTAACATTACGCATCACTGCTGACGAACCTCACGGGAACGGAAGCGGGAACGGCGCCCGCCATCGTCCATCGAGGAACGAGGAGGGGGGGGGGAGGGAGGGGGGGGAGGCGCGATTCGTGAAACTCACAATCGATTTTATATCTCTTAATTATCATGTTATGTGTTCGATCTTTGTCTGTGCATTCGTCTGGTCACTTGTGAACACAAAAATTCGATGAGCATGCACGTGTACGTAGATAATTATCTGTAGCATTAAACACTTGATTAACGAATGTAATTCCTTTTTGCTGATTGTGCTTGCAATATGTGAATTCTCTTTGGAAATGGGGACGGGAGGGAGGAAAGGAAAGGAGAGAGAAAAAAAGGATGAGGATAAACTGGGATAAAAGAATAGAAGGAAGAGGAGAATTATTGAAAGTTGATCGTAGAGAAAAATTGGGAATAAAAGGGGAATCATTCGAGTCGAAGAGATTAAAAAGAAATCTGCCGGTTTAATTGCTTCGAACAAATACGTTCCGCTTTTTGGATTGCACGTATTACGCATTCGTTGAGAAACACGACGGTTGTGGTCGTCCTTTTTCATCACGACGAAAATTGAGTTCGTTCCCTTACATCGCTTCACTCCTCGTTTGTTGCTCTTTAAAAGGTACTCCTTGGATATTGATCGACGTCACTGAAATAGAGTCACCATTTTTCTTTCGGAGATACTGCAGAATAGCTACTTATGTAGGTACCGCACGAGGGTCTAAAATTTGCAACCGAATCTAATTTTTCGTATATCGACCTACACTTTTCCTCGAAACGTTTGAATAAGAATTTTCATATATTAAAATATTAGAACATTTAGAAAGTTTTTCTATGTCAGTGACTTCACTATCGATATCTCATCGTATATTTTTACGCTTATAAAATCCGGTGTCACGCTATTCTGCTTTAAACTCTCGCGACAACTCTATCATTTCCTTCTTGCATTTGCACTCTATCGTATTACCCGCTATTACCACGCGAAATTTCTACAAAATTCCATAGAGATATAGTTTAAGCAAGTTCGAGCGAAACAATGATACGTGATCACGATGTGAGGCTTAATTTCGAAAACAGAATTGAGATGAGATGGATAAAAAAAATAGTGAGAAACTCGATTCTTTCGCGACAAATTCTATAGATAGGCTGAACCATCTGGTAACCGGGTAATCGATCGACCATTATTACGAGAAGGATGTATAAAAAAGAAGCGATATCTTATCATACCTATAACACGCTTGATTTAGTGGACAGAACGTGCAGCAAAGGAAT